TAATTAATAATAATTTAAAAAGCTACCTACACATAGAAAATGTTAAGTAAGTGTTGCTAGTGTCATCATGGTCTTCGTCATCATCATCATTATTATAAAAACTTATGAGGCAGGAGTAATAGGCATAGTATCTAATATCTACAGTCTTTTGCGTGCCTGTCACATTTCAGGCTCTGGGCTACGATCTTTTCACTGCATCTCATTAGTTCTCACAACAATCCTGCTATTATTTTCATTGTTTAGAGGAGAAAATAAAAATGTATGGTCCTTGCCACGCATGGTTTTAAGGACACGACCTGAATAAATGAGGTACAGCCGCCCCCCCCAATATCTGTGGGTTTTCCATTTGCAGATTCAACCAACTGCAGATCAAAAACAAATTTTTTTTAATTCCAGAAATTTCCAAAAAGCAAAACTTGAATTTGCCACAGGCCCACAACTATTTCCATAGCATTTGCATTGTGTGTACAACTATTTCCATAGCATTTACATTGTATGTACAACTATTCCCATAGCATTTACATTGTAATAGGTTATTATAAGTAATCTAAAGATGATGTAAATTTTACCAGAGGATGTGCGTAGGTTAATGCAAATACTACACCATTTTATATAAGGGACTTGAACATCCACAGATTTTGGTATCCAAGGGGGTCCTGGAACCAAACCCCTGTGGATGCTGAGGGATGACTGCAGTTCTCACAGTAATCTTGTGAAGTCAGTACTTGTATGGTGCCCATTTTCCAGATGAGGAAAGCTGAGCACAGAGAGGTGAAGTAACTTGCCCAAGGTCACACAGAGGCTGAGCCAGGGATTTGAACCCAGAGCCAAGGTTCTTAACCATTCCACTATACTGTCTCTATATTTGCATAAAATCTCCCAGTTACAACCAAAAGCCACTTCACCAGGGCCAGGCTACACCCCCTCAGAATTCTAATCCTCTGTCTCCCCAGGGGCTGCCTGAGCCAATGAGGGTCACTAGCTGGGCCACCCTTATGCAGATGAGCACCCTGGGCTTTGTAAGTAAGGGAACACTGAGAGGGGCAACCAGCTCCTTCCTGTTCCTGGCCACCTGGGGGGAGGGGGTGCTGGAATAGGCTTGGGATCTGGGGAGATGGGGCAAAGGGCCTCTGCAGTTCCCTAAAACTGGCAGCTCTGGGGACTAGAGGCCCAACACAGGATGCCACACACACCTGGACCTCCTGCCAGGCAGGTAGCTTCATGCCTCTAGGCCTCAGTTTCCTCATCTGTCAACTAGACTAATTTAGGATATTCCCCACCTCTTGGGGTTGTGGAGAAGATTCCACGAGGAAACCAATTAGCACCTACCACATGGTAACGGATTGATACAGGGATCTATTAAAATTATTATTGGGACCTCCCTGGTGCTCCAATGGCTAGAATTCCACGCTTCCACTGCAGGGGGCACGGGTTCGATCCCTGGTTGGGGAGCTAAATTCCCACATGCCACGTGGTGTGCCCAAAAGAAAAATTATTAACATGTAATGGTATCGAATAAGTTATACAAAACAATATCTTGCAGTTCAATAAAATTATACATAAAATGTTAAGGTATAATAGATTGCTATGTGTTACATAGTTAAACATTGATTTATTGACACAACTGTAATGGCACATATGTTTGTACCATATTATTAGATTATATAATGTGTAATTATATAATTAGATATTTAGGCTAATATAATTAAGTAACACAACTATATGTGTATCTGTCATACACTATATAATGCACACTTGCACGTTAAATATGAAGTTTTCCCTCAGAGTTGTATATATAACAGAAAATTATTCTGTGTCATTGTGCATTACATCATAAGATATTAATAGCGTTTCCTTTTTCTGTCAGTCATCATTATGTGTTTTAGGACCTACCCATGTTGCTCTGTGGACACCTGGTCTGTGGCCGCGGGGGGTTTGCAGGCCTCCCTGGTGACTGTCCCCTTCTGTTTATTCCCCCTCTCGCCTGCGGAGGTGACACCCAGGCTGCCCCCACCTCCCCCAAATAACATTGCAGTGAACTTCCTTGTATATGTCCCCACGTGGAACTGAGGGAGAAGGTCTCGGTATGAACACCCAGGAGCTAACCGTGGGGTCACAGCCCCACGCACACATTTAATTTGACTGCAGCGCCAAGCGGTCCTCAGGAAGGGCTGTCCCCTATCAGTACATAAGGGCTCCTCCGTCCCCAAGGCCCCAGCCTCCACTTGGCATTTTTCCAGCTTCTAATTTTTGCCAGACAAATAGGATGACTCACTGTCGTTTCAATTTGCACTTCCCTGATCTCCTACCAATAATTTCTAGCACCTTCTCAGGTGCCTGTCTAGAGAGTTTTGGAGTCTCTTCCTCACCCTCATCCTCTTTGCCCATTCTTCTATCAGAGCAGCTGTCTTTTTCTCTTGCTGACTTGCAGCTGTCCCTTTTCCATTCTAGATATTAATCTCTCCTTGATTTTAAACTTTCTCTTTTTTTGTTTTTTTTGGCCACACCACGAGTCAGGCAGGATCTTAGTTCCCCGACCAGGGCTCAAACCCGCGCCCCCCTGCAGTGGAAGCTCGGAGTCTTAACCACTGGACCGCCAGGGAAGTCCCGATGTTACACACTTTAAATACTGTTTTTCCTCTCTGTCATCTGATATTTGTTCCATGGTGTCCTCATTAAAAGAAATCTTTATTTGGATGTTATCAAATGCATCCTGTTTCTGCCTCATGAGTTTTTGTGGTTTGCTTCAGCAGTCTTTTCCTTTGCGGTTGTTGGTGTCATTGTTGGTATTAACCATCCCCGAGGGCCATGAGGGCGGCACACGTTTATACCAGTGCCAGGGACCTTTGCCCGTCTCCCTCTCTGAGGCTTCTCTGAGTCCTGGGGGCCTGGAGACACTCTCCCACTATAAGCTGGTCTCAGCCAGGGCTGTTACATCACCTCTTGTAAGGCAGGTGCCGAGGAGATAGGCTGAGAGTCAGACAGACAGCACATCACAGAGAGCACTCTTGAGATCAAAGGAGAGAGAAGAGAAAAGGCAGGTGGAGGAAAACACGGAGAGGGTCTGCAACCATACGGCATGGCATGGAATGGAAAAGCTAAAGAGGATGGGCTCTGTGCTCGTCTAAATGTTCTGGCCTGAAAAAAAATCCATGGTGACTTCTTTCTGTGCAAAACTAGACTTCTAAAAGAGCTTTGGTTGAATGGACTCACTTACTAGGTTTGGCAGAATCATACTAAATACTGTGACCGTTAATCCACTCTCGGGTATCTACCCTACAGAAATGCACACCACAGTGTTCACCACAAGTCAGGGGCTAGAATAACAGCAGCAGCATTATTCACAGCAGCCCCAAACTGGAAACAACTCAAATGTCCGTCACAGGAAAATCAATCAATAAATCATGGACTAATCACATGATGGAAGACTCTACAACAACCAAAGGAATGAGCTACAGCCAAATATAACATGGAAGCATCACAAAGACATGATGTTGAATGAAAGAAGCCAGGGACTTCCCTGGTGGTCCAGTGGCTAAGACTCCGCACTTCCAGTGCAGGGGGCCTGGGTTCGATCCCTGGTCAGGGAACTAGATCCCACATGCATGTCACAAACTAAGAGTTCGCATACTGCAATAAACGATCCTGCATGCCACCGCTAAAGATCCCGCACACCGCAACTGAGACCTGGAGCAGCCTAAATAAATAAATAATTAAAAAAAAAAATGAAGCCAGATAGTTGTTTCCATTTATATACAGCTCAAAACCAGGCAAAACTACTCTGTTAGAAATCAGGTTACTGGTAACTTTTGGGAGATAGCACTGGGAAGGAACACAAGGGGGCTTATGGGGAATGGAAATGTTCTATTTCTTGATTTCTGTGAATGTCACAGGGGCATATTCTGTTTGTCACCATTCAACAACCTAAACACTTCCGATTTGACTCTTTTTTGTACTTCAATTTAAAAATGTGTCAAAAAAAATATGTCAAGCATGACACATTTAGGTAAGCGAAAACAAGCATGTACACTCAAAAGAAAAGTCTGTGTTTCTATGAGCATGTGTCCATGTACTTAAAAGCAGAGCCAACAGATCAGATGAAACCCAACCATGTATGATATTGGTCACCCCTGCCTAACAGGGACAGTGGGATGGGGAGGGGACTCCCCAAGGGTTAACTTCCACCTGCAATGTTTTTATACTAAGATAACAGTCTTTAAGATTATGTGAGGACTTCCCTGGTGGCACAGTGGTTAAGAATCCGCCTGCCAATGCAGGGAACATCCCTGGTCCAGGAAGATCCCACATGCCACGGAGCAAATAAGCCCGTGCGCCACAACTACTGAGCCTGCACTCTAGAGCCCCGCAACGAAGAGTAGACCCCTCTTGCCGCCAGCTAGAGACAGCCCATGCGCAGCAATGAAGACCCCAACACAGCCAAAAAAAAAAAAAGTTTGTGTGAGAATTGAATGAGTTAATATGTTAAGAGCCCTTAGAACAGTGTGTAGTATACAGTAGGTGCTACATAAGGTTTTCTTACAATAAAAGGAATAAAGTGAAAATGTTTTCTGGGGTATAAATGGTATTATTAAAACTAAGCTAGAAATAAAAGAAACATAAGAAATATACAAAATATTATGTCTTGTGACTTTCCAATCAAACTGCTGTGCATTATTATACATGAATATGTCCTCATAGAAATATAGACTTTTCTTTCGAGTGTGTTTACAAAAATGTGTCATATTAGGCATACTTTTTTTAAAAAACTGCTCTTATTGAAGCTTGACAGTGACAGAACAGAGAATCACGGGTCTGGAGACCGAAAGATGGGGGAGATAGAGAGTCCGCTGGGTGATTGGGGGTGGGGGCCCGCAGCACCGGAAACCTCAGCCTGAAGGGATCCCCGTGTGGGGGGAGGAGGGACCTTTGGTCTCTCCCCAGCCTCTTCCTTCCCCCTGGCCTGGGGCTGGGTGGGGAGGAGCAGTTCCTCTTTCCTTCCCAAGCACCGAGGAGGCCCCAGCTCCCAAGGGGCTAAGAAGCTGGAGCATTGGTGAGGGGGGGAGGAGCTGAGCCACACTCTTAAAAGACCCCTTCCCCTCAAGGAAGCATGAACAAGAAAGACAGCAAGAGGTGAGGGGACCCTTCTCCAAGAGACCAGGAGCGCCCTACGCCCCTGGGTCTCGCTTGGGCTGCATGGGAAGTTTGGGGAGGTTCTAACCAGGGGCATAGGGTATCGGGCTACTCTGGGGGCAGCAGCAGGAGCAGGGGGCGCCAGGTGGAAAGATGCTTCAGGGAGTCCAGAGCCAGCTCAGGCTGGGGCTGTTTGCTTGGGTGTCTGTGTCTTATCCTTGCTCTTCTGGAATTTGAGCTGCTCTGATCCCATTCTCCCCGCGCCCTTCACGCCCCCATCCTAATTCTGTAGGCTGGGTGTCTCTGTCCTCCCTGGGGTCTTCTTGGCTGCCCCCAGAACTGGAAACTCCAGACTCCTGCAGGGCCCTGCCCCAGGGGAGGGGAGTGTGACGCAGGGCAAGGCGGCTCCCCGGCGGCGTCTTAAGCAACTCCTGGCTGCTCCAGACGCTGCAGGGGGCAGAGAGTCCGAAGGTAAGGGCTTAGCAGCTGGCTATACCAGCAGGTTCTGCCTTCCTGTCCTCACAGGGGCCATGGTGGCTGGGTCCATAGCCTAGGCAGCTCCTTCTGCCTCCCCCAGCATGTCTTTGATAGGCAAAGTGTCCCCTCCCTATAATCTCCAGGAGTTTACTGGTGGAGACCTGGCTGCCTCATTTTCTGGCTGTGTGACCTTAGGTAAGTCACTTACCCGCTCTGTGCCTCAGTTTCTTCTTCTGTCAATAGAATAATCATAGTCCCTTCTCAGAGGGATGCATGAGTCCTCGATGGTACAGTCTAGACCTGTGGTTCTCAAGCTTGGGCACACATCAGGACCACCTGGAGGGCTTCTAAAACACAGGCTGCTGGCCCACCTTCAAGGTGTCTGATTCTGTAGGTCTGGGGCGGGGCCTAAGAATTTGTATTTCTCTCAAGTTCCCAGGTGATGCTGTTGGGATTGGTTGGGGACCATGTTTTGGGAACCCCTAAACTAGATAGATGCTCAACCCGCTGCCCGGTACACATCCAGTGCTCAGTAATGCCAGCTGTTACTCAACAACATTCAAAATGATTACCGAGCTTTTAGGATGCACCAGGGACATGGCCGTGCCCTTGTTATGGGGGGTCTCCCGATTTCTGGTTCCACCCCCATTCCCCAGGCCTTGCTTCTAGTTTGCTCCATCACATTCTTTCTCTGCATCTCAAATTTAACTTTCTCACCTCTGGCCACTTAAGGGCCTAAGCAAACTAAATCCCTTAGTTAGCACTTTTGAAGAGCAAGGCATTGAATGTTCATAATAAATTCTTGGGGAAGGTCTGAAGGCGACCCTCATTTTTCACATGAGGAAACTGAGGTCCAAAGAAATTATGTGATTAACACAAAGTCTCACCAGCCAGCATAAATTTCTCCAGCCCAGTTCTGTCTGACTCTTGTGGAAGCCAAGGCCTTCTGCCTGGATTCTGCTCCCTCCTTCCTCCACCATCCCTGTCTCTCCATTACCCTCTTTCCCCAACTGGAACAGGAGCCTTGGGGAGGCACAGGGCAGAGTGAGGGTTATTTTTAAACTTTCCTTGAAGCTGCCTCAGCCCCAGGGACCGCACCCAGCTCTGAAGGGCTCTGGTGAGGCTACTTTGCACCTGTATCTTCTCTCCAGGCTCCAAATCTAGGGACCCAGGCTTGCAGCTAAGACTCCAGTCCCACCGAAAGGCTGGCTTGGGGGAGGGGTCTGTCACCTTAGTGGCGGTCAAGGTGGGGGAGGAGGGAGAGATGGAATCTCAGGGGTCTGCTTCTCTCATGAGGGCTGGGGGGAGGAGGGGGAGGTGTTGGAAAGCAAAGGGGAATTATGCGGAGTATCCCTGAAGGCAGAACCTCCCATGATTCCTCCTGGGGAGGATAAGAATAATTCTGGGGGTCTTCTCCTATGATTCCCTGGGAGGTCAGGAGTAACCCATCTGCCAACAGGAAGTCTCTCCCATGATGTCTTGGGGCCATACAGTCAAGGGGAATTGGGGGACAATGCCTGGAGGAGTTCTTATGATTCCTGGAGGGTCTTTAGTAGTCCTGGGGCTCTTCTCCCATGATTCGCTGGGGGCGGTGGTTCAGGGTAGTCCTAGGGTGTTCCCCCCTGATTCCCTGAAGAGGACAGGCGTGACCCTTGGGGTTTTCTTGTAGGAGAAGCCTCCCATGATCTGCACTACTCCTGGGGTTTTCTCCTATGGAACCACGGTAGGTCAGGACTAATGCTAGGACCTTGCCTTTAGGATGCCTTGGGGCTTTGGGGTCAAGAAGAATTCTGGGGGTCTGCCTCAAGGAAGGGGCTCCCATGATTCCCCAGGGAATGTGTCCACAGGAAGTCCTACCAGGAATGCCCGGGGAAGACAGGGGGCCGGGGCCGGCCCCGACAGGCCCGCCGCCACAAGACGTGCCCCAGCCCCCGGGAAATCAGCAAGGTCATGGCTTCCATGGCTCTGGGTATGCTGAATGAGGGTGGCTGCAGCGAAGATGACCTGCTGGAGAAATGCATTCAGTCTTTCGGTGAGTGTCCCCTCCCTGGCCAGCCTCCCCAGTCCTGAGGCTGGGCCAAGCACCCACCTCTCTCTGGGCTCAACTTGAGGGGTATAAAATAGAGGCAGGCATATGTGGAATGACTCTCAATCACTACAGCAGGAGTAAGACAGATACCTACCTGCGCTTCTTTTTCCTGAGCCGCAGGGGGAGGAGTCTGATACTATTTCCATCTTCAGTATGACTTGCCAGGGACGGTGCTCCTCCATGCACGGTACAGACAAGGAAACTGGAGCACAAGGAGGCCAGGTTGTTTGCCCAAGTTCATACGTGGAGTCGCTGGTAGAGCTGGGGTTTGAACCAGGCTGTCCAACCGGCTCTGGAAGCTGTGCAGTCCATTGCCCAGGGGCCATTCTGACACAGTGTCCCCTTCTCCTGCCTTCAGACCCGGCTGGCAGCCTGCGCCGTGGAGACCACATTCTCAACATGGTACTTGCCATGCACAACTGGGTGCTGCCTTCTGCCCACCTTGCTGCCCGTCTGCTGACCTTATATCCTCCGGGGGCCATGAGCAGTGGGTGGAGGACGGAGGGCGGAGATGAGAGAGCCTGGTGGGGACGGGGTGAGCAGGCAGGTCTGAGATGCTGGATAACAGAACCTTGACTGGAACTTAAGTACCAGGAGGCCACAGGGAGCACACAGGAGCTGAGGAGGCTGCAGATCTGTCACCTGGTCAGGTAGGCCTGGGCCAAGACCTACACTCCCATGACCCAAGATCCTCACCCTGCTGCCCCCCCCAAAATAAACCACTTCCCAGTCCTGCTCCTGCAAATCCAACTCTGAGAATCCCCTGGCTTGGTCCCTAAAACCTCCCAGTTCTCTTCCTTAGAACCCTCACCTCTTAGAGACCCCTGACCAGATCCTATGGACCCTCTCCCAGCTGGTACCCCAAGACGTCCAGCTCAGATTCCTAAAACCCCGACCTCCCATATACCCCAGCCTAATTTCTAAGACCCCCCTCACCCTGTTCCCCCAAAATCTCACCCCTAGAGGCCCCCAACCTAGTTCCTGAGACCCATGCCCACTACCCTGCTTCCTAGCCATCCCACTTCCAAGAGATTGCCCAGTCCATCTGCCATAGATCCCTCAGCCTGTGTTAAGAGGCCCCCAGTCCTACTCCCAGAGATCCTCCCAGCCTGGTGCCTCTCTGAACCCTGGCCTTCCAGAGACCCCCTGCACACATTTAGAGATGCCCCCAAGCCCAGCACCTAGAGATCCCCCAGCCCAAGAGACCCCTTTCAGAGACCTGCCTCACCCCCAGCCTCATTCCACCATCTCTAAACCACCCTCAGGTACTGGCTGACCCAACACCCTGAGACAGTGCATCAGGAGCCCCAGTTAGAAGAGGTTATAGGTCGCTTCTGGGCCACTGTGGAACAGGAGGGTAACGCAACCCAGCGGAGGCTGGGAGACTCCGCGAACCTGTGAGTCAGTCCCTTCCCCTTCCCTCCCAGCCCCACTCTGCCTTCTGCCTCCACACTCCCACACCGTCCACCCCAGCTCCTCCCCCTGCCTCTCTTTGCCCCCAGGCTGAGCCCTGGTGGCCCTGGCCCCCCTCCCCCCATAAGCAGCCCAGGCCTGGGCAAAAAGCGCAAAGTGTCCTTGCTTTTCGACCACCTGGAGACCGAGGAGCTGGCAGAGCACCTCACTTACCTGGAGTTCCGGTCCTTCCAGGCTATCACGGTAAGGACGCCCACCTGGGGAGGGCTTGGGGTGGGCTGAGGCCTGGCTGGGGCCAGGCAGGACTGAGAGGACCCAAACTGTCAAACTTGGGTGCTAGAGGGTCCAGGAAAAGGAGTTAAGCTGGCTGAGCACAGAGCCCAGGGTTCAAATCCCATCAGCCCCTTCCTACCTGTGTAATTTTGAACTAGTTTCTCAACCTCTCTGGGACTCAGTTTTCTCATGTGTAAAAAGGAGGTCATACTATTTCATTGGCAGGTTGGGGAAATTAATATGTCCATTTAAAAATGCTCGTCACAGTGCCTGGCACATAGTAAGTGCTCAAAATATTTTATTAATTGTTCATTTATTTGAGAAGCATTTAAATTCACTGTGCCTCAGCCCGTTATCTGTAAAAGGGGGACTTAGCTCCTGCCTCATAGGATCAGCGCCTGGTCCAGAGTAAATGCTCTATAGTTGAACCATTTGAAATTGCCATGTTTTGACATATTTAACCTACTCAAATTGTAATTTCAAATGCTTCAACCTATATATAAGCGTTTAGCTATTGCCATCTTGCCATCATCGTTTTGAGGGTAGTTGGGGATCTGGTTCCTTAATGGGAAAATTTCCTGATTGTACACACACACACACACACACACACACACAGTGCAGTGGATGTGGGTATGTAATGTTGACTCCTTGAGCAGAATAAATGGAAGTTAGTTTCGTGTCCTCTTCACCACCCTTCCCTTTGCTGACTATATACCAGTCAGGTATACAGTTAAGAGCAATAGACTGGGTTCCCTCCCTGACTCGGGCCTGTGTGACCCTGGGCAAATTACTTAGCCTCTCTGTGCCTCAATGACCTCATCTCTAAAATGGGAATAATATAGTATTCACTTCATAGACTTGTGAGGCTATGAGGAAGGGCTCAGAATAGTACCCAACTTTCTTTAAACATTTCTCCTCAGATGGGAGAGGGCCATGGTGACCTCAGGGACATGTGATGGCCGGGCTAGGACGTCAGAGGTCGTGACTGCTTGGGGGATGGCGTGTGAGGGGCAGAGCCTGAGAGCGAGGGCCCACCCTGACACCTACCTCACCCCCAGCCCCAGGACCTGCGGGGCTACGTTTTGCAGGGCTCCGTGCGGGGCTGCCCGGCCCTGGAGGGATCCGTAGGTCTCAGCAACAGCGTGTCCCGCTGGGTGCAGGTCATGGTGCTGAGCCGCCCCGGGCCTGCACAGCGCGGGCAGGTGCTGGACAAGTTCATCCACGTGGCACAGGTGAGGTCCGCCCCGCCGCTCTGCCCACTTTCTGAGCACCTGCCCCGCGGGGCTCCCGGGCGGTGACGTCACCATATCGTGGCCCCTCCCGAACGCATCACGCCCCACCCTGCCCGCGGCCCCGCGGCCCCCGTCCTGTCGTTTTAACCCGGGACTGTGACGGCACTTCTTCCCTGGCCTTGATTTCACCACGTCCAACCCGCCCTGGCCCCACTCCTTGGTCCCAGACGTGGCAGTTGACGACGTTCCTCCTGACCCCGTCTCACAAGCCCAGTGCCCGAATATTCTATCCGCAGGGCAATGAAAGAGGAGACTCTTTCTTGCCCGCACCTTTGCGTCAAACTCTACCCCGTCCCTAGGCCCCAGCTGTCCCTTTAGGACAGTGACAGCATCCGACCCCATCACTTCAGGTCTCCCTTGGCCCGCCCTTTCTCTTCACCTTCCCCCCCTTTCCCTTCCCCCCTCCCCTTCCCCCTCCTTTCCAGCTATGTTCCCTCCCTTCTGGAGAAAAGGGAAGCCCGCTTTCCCCCAGCGTGGCCACGCCCCTTTGCGTACTTCCTCGCAGACCGCGCCCTGCCTCTGGCGTCTTCCATCTCCTTGCTTCCCCTGTCCCGCACGACAGACCAGGGTGTCCTGGCATCTACATGGGGTCTCCCCGGTCTGAGCGTCTTCCATTCCTCCCTGGCACCCAACAACCTTCTCCCCCAGCAACCTCCGCTCTTCAAACCTGAGAAAGGGGAGGGCTGACCCCACACCTGTCTCTTATATCTACCTGACCCCTCCGTATCACTCTGGACGATTTCACCTCTGCCTAGCTCCCAACTCCTGCCCAGAACCCAGGCCTTCTGGTCTCCCCTCACCTGGCTGGCTCCCAGTGCAGAGGCCGCCTAGTTGTCTGACACCCTAACGTCTGTCTGCATCCTCCACACCTGCCTGACACAGACCTGTTGAGTCCCCAAACCCGTCCAACACCCCATACTTGCCTGACTCCCCCCACTTTTTTTTTTGGCCATACCACGTGGCATGCGGGATAATAGTTCTCCCACCAGAGCTCCAGCTCACGCCCCGGCAGTGGAAGTACACGCTGAGTCCTAACCACTGGACCGCCAGGGAAGTCCCTGACTCCCCCCACTTCTCTCTGACCTAACATTAGTCTATCATCTGCCTGACCTCCGTGTGATGCCCACATACCTGCTTGTGGCCCACTCCTGCCTGACACATCTCACCTGTCTGATGCCTGCACTGGCCCATCCCCACACATGCCTGAGACCCCAACTCAATGGGGATGCTGTCATTTGAACCCCCAATTTGCCTGTCCTCCATGTGGTGCCCACCACTTCTGCATCACCCTCCCTTCCTAGAGGCTCCTCCAGCTGCAGAATTTCAACACGCTGATGGCAGTCACTGGAGGCCTGTGTCATAGCGCCATCTCCAGACTCAAGGACTCCCACACCCACCTGAGCCCTGACAGCACCAAGGTGAAGTCCCACTGCCCTCCCCAAAGTTCCAGTGGTCAATTATCCTGAACCCACACACTTTTCCCCAGCCCCCTCCGTCCCTTCCCAGGGGCCCTGGAGCCACCCAGAGACCTTTTGCTCCTCCAAATCCGACAGACCCCCAGGCTTTGTCCTCCTCTGTCATTCTTCCTCCCTCCTCATCCGTGGTGCTGACCTCTCTCTACTGTGTGTCTGGTCCTGAGCAGGACTGGAGGGAGGCAGATAAGAGACGCTAGCAGAGAACTTGCAGTCCAGGTGGGGAGTGAAATGATGCCCCCAGGGATGCCAACATTTGGGCCACCCATGGGAGGAGCATGGGTTGGGGGTGTCCTGAAAGTGTCTAAGGAGAGCGAGTCATTCATGAGTCTGGTGTGTGCCTGAGGTCAGGATGTGGCAGGATATTGGGCTGGAGATGCCGGGGCAGGGGGCGGGGGGAGATCCTGTTGAGCCTTTTGCAAGCTCAGCTAAGGTGTCTGGGCTTTATCTAGAGGGCAGTGGGGAGCTAGGAAGCGTCTGGGAATGCTGAGAGCACCCATGATCAGATTTGGGTTTTTGAAAAACCACTCTAGCCTGGGGAATGGGAGACAGTGGGGCCTTTCTGAGATGGGGGCCCAAGTGGAAGAGCAGTCTGGGGAGATGCTGAAGCCAATGTGGGACATGGAGGGGCTTGGGGAGAGGTCCAAAATGCCATTGGGCCCCTGGGGGGTCCAGAGCCACACAGGACGCTGCTAGATACTCCCCTTCAAGGAGCTAGGGGAACAGAACTGGCCTCCCCGATTACATGCTGCTCCCCCCCAAAAGAAACATGCCCCTCCCACACAGGCCCTGCTGGAGCTGACTGAGCTCCTTGCTGCCCACAACAACTACGCCTGTTACCGCCGCACCTGGGCTGGCTGCACCGGCTTCCGGCTGCCTGTACTGGGTGTGCATCTCAAGGATCTGGTGTCCCTGCACGAGGCACAGCCTGACAGGTTGCCTGACGGCCGCCTGCACCTACCCAAGCTCAACAGCCTCTACCTGCGGCTGCAGGAGCTGGCAGCCCTCCAGAGGCAAGACCCCCCCTGCAGTGCCAAGGAGGACCTACTGCATCTGCTCACGGTGAGCTGCCCTGAGCTGCCCAGGCTGAGCTCCCAGAGGCTGCACCTGCGGGGTACTGAGATTTAGGGTCCTGGGTGGGTGAGGGTCAGGATAGAATAGTAGAATAGCACTGGAATGCATGGGCTTTGGAGCCAGAGCTTCTAGGGGTTTTTTTGTTTTTATTTTTTTTCTGTGTGGTCTTGGGCAAGTCACTTAACCCCTCAGCCTCAGTTTCCTTAACTACAAAATGGGAATACAAATAGGACCTACTTCAGAGAGTGGTTGAAAAGAATCAGTAATATCATTCATATAAATATCATTCATAAAATTCACATAAAGTACTTAAAATAGTATCTGGAACACAGTGAGCTCTATATAAGTAATGCGTTTTTCCCCCAGTTCCCCCAGCAACTCAAGTATCCATTGATCTGAGCTCCAGAATTGCTTCGGGCTTTTGCACTCCTGAACTCCAAGGTTCTGAGCTTCTCATGCCACGAGTCCAAAATTCCAAGCTTTAACATATCCAGGAATCTAAGCAAAAAGCTAATAACAGTTATTGACCACTTATTATGTGCCAGGCACCATGTTTAACAGTCCCCAGAGAGCACTTCATTCCATCCTCACAACCCTACGAGGAGGGGACCCTTATTGTGTCCATTCTACAGACTGAGAAACTGAGACCCACAGAGGTGAGGTCACTTGCCCCCTGTCCCACAGCAGGCCAGCTTCAGAACATGTATTAACTATCACACTATGTCCTAAGACTGCAAGTGTGAGATTCTGGCTATATTTTATTTTACATAGACAGATAGATAGGTAGATAGATGATAGATAGATAATAGAGATAGAGAGGTAGAGATATATATATTTCATTCTAAAGAGCTATAAATTGAGAGAGACTGGGATTCTGAGGACCAGGTAGTCTAAGATTGAAAAGCTGACTTTCAGATCCTAAGACAGGACCACCTGCAAATTGAAAATGTGGGGCTCCTTGTTTGAAATTATTAAGAATTTCAAGATGGTGACAGCAGGGCATTAAACGAAGTGGAGGCCCCTCTAAGTGTGAGGCCTGCCTGTGAAGCTGGTCCTGCCCAGAATGATTGGTGCCTAAGCTGCTATGCTATGCTGACCCTAAGAGGCCATCAGCCCAAATATTTATTGAGCACCTGCTGTGAGCCAGGCACTACTTTAGGCACTTAGGCTCACAGCAGTGTGCAACATCAGAGAAAAATTGCTGTCTTGTGGGGCTGACTTCCTAGTGGGGGAGATAGCCAGTGAAAAAAGTAAATAAGTAAATCATATGGTCTTTTAGATAAAAAGTGCCATAGAGAAAATTAAAGCAGAAACAGGCATGCAAAGTGACAGGGGTTTGCAATTTTAAATAGGATCAAAAGAGCCTCGGTGACAAGGTGGTGTTTCTGGTCTAGGGGACCAGCGGTGTGCAGAGCGAAGTGGGGCTCAGTGGGAGAGAGGACCATGGGGGTCCCAGGGAAGAGGGGCTTTGGAAAGAGGAGGAGATTGGGGGTCCAGGCAGGCATGGGCTGTAGGTAGGAGGACAGAGACAAGGAGGGTCCGTAACGCCCTGCCCATCCTCCAGCTTTCCCTGGATCTCTTCTACACGGAGGATGAGATCTATGAGCTTTCTTATGCCCGGGAGCCCCGCTGTCCCAAGAGTCTGGTGAGACCCCAGCCCTGACCTCTGACCTCCAGCCCAAGCCTCTGCAATGACTAACTGTGACCCTCTGGCCCTGCCCCAGCCACCCTCCCCCTTCCAGGTGCCCCTGGTGGTGCAGTGGGCCCCTGGCGTGATGCCCAAGCCCGACAGGGTCACGCTGGGTCGGCACGTGGAGCAGCTGGTGGAGGTGAGGAGGAGCCCTGGGCGGGAGGAGGGATCTAAGGCCCTGGGGCCTCTGACTCGGCCTGACTCTCCCCTTCCCACGCTCCTCCGAAGTCTGTGTTCAAGAACTATGACCCCGAAGGCCGAGGCACCATCTCTCAGGAGGACTTTGAGCGACTCTCAGGCAACTTCCCGTTCGCCTGCCACGGGCTTCACCCACCCCCCCGCCAGGGGTAGGTGCTCCCGACTCCTGGGTTCCCTTAAGACGAGGACCTGGGGTATCCAGGACTCCTGGGTCTGGGAGAAATGGGCCAGTCCTGCTGAAGCGCAGTCTCTCCCCCAGGAGTGGCTCCTTCAGCCGAGAGGAGCTGACAGGGTACCTGCTCCAGGCCAGCGCCATCTGCTCCAAGCTGGGCCTGACCTTCCTGCACACCTTCCAGGAGGTCACCTTCCGCAAGCCCACCTTCTGTGGCATCTGCAGCGGCTTCGTGAGCACTCCGCCCGCTGTCACCCTGAGGGACCCCTGGAGCGCCCTAACTCCTCACAGCCTGGGCTGGAAAAGCCAGGCCTGCCCTGGAGCGCTCACGGTCACCAAGCCCCGGATAATCCCCAAATTCCAGAAAAGGCTCTAGCCTCAAATAATCCCTACATTTCACAGCAACCCTAAACAATGGATATTCCCTACATCTTGGATAATTCTGAAGTCTAGATACTGCTCGATTCCCAGACAATCTCCATCCTGGATAACTGCCAAACCCTGGAGAATCTACAAACACGAGTAGATTATCTCCAAGCAGAATGAATCTCCAAGTCTCTAGACCCCAGATAATTCAAACCCTGGATAATTTCCAAATTCAGGGTATCCTCAGACTCTGTATAAGGGACGAATCTCTCGATCTCAAACCAAGACCAATTCACAAACCTTGGATTACTTTCCGAATTTACTTTTTCATTCATTTTTTCATTCATAAATATATACTGGGCACCTGCTGTGTGCCCGGCACAGTTATAGGCTCTGGGTGGGTGGGAGCACAGGAGGAAACAGAACAGACACAATCCCTGCCCATAGAATTTATGCTTTATTAATTCCAAATTTTGTCCAATTCTCATATCACAGATGACTTTCCAAACCTGAGATAACCTCCTAATTCCTTTAGTCTCCCAGATCCCACATAAGCCTCTAGCTTTGAAAACTTCCAAAACCTGAATTGTTTCCTCCAGACAGACCCCAGCCCCACCCCAATCACAGCCCTCCTTCCCCTAGCCTAGGTAACCTATTCTGCTTTCTCTTCCCAGCTTTGGGGTGTCACCAAGCAAGGCTACCGCTGTCGGGGTGAGCGGGGCATGGGTAGGGGGAGGGAATCCAGGACCCGCGGGCTGGAAGAATAGAGGACACAGACTGGGCCTCTGGCACTAACCTCTGAATTTCCCCCAGACTGTGGGCTGTGTTGCCACAAACACTGCAGAGACCAAGTGAAGGTGGAGTGTAAGAAGAGGCCAGGGGCCAAGGGCGACGTGAGCCCCCCAGAAGCCCCTGTCCCACCCACACCAGTTCCCCATGCCGGCTGTGGTAAGACCCAGGGTGTAGCAGTCCTGGGAAGGGGGCCTGGTGGATGGATGGGGATTAACTCCAAGGTCCTGAGGTCTTTCCTACCGCACCCACATCCCTCCCGTCTACAACCCCACGAACAGGCTCTGAGGACAATCTCTCCTACACGCTATCCCTGGAACCTGAGACTGGGTGGCACGTTTGCCATGCTTGGACCCAGACAGAACCCTCACATCCCTCCTGGGAACCAGAGACGGTGAGGAGGAGCTGCCCCTACCCACAACTGGATACAGGGAGACCAGCCTATTTGCCTGGGGGAGCCCAGACAGATTTGGGGAAGCGTAGGAAAGTTAAAATATGCAGAAGTCCTCAATTGCTTGGGTAGGAGGGCATAGATAGTGGTTAATTTTTAATGTTGATAGAAAAATAGGAATTACAGTATGTTGTGGGGAGGGGAAGGGGTAGCCACTAGTAGAAAAGAAAAGGGAGTTCAGGAAGAAAAAAAGAAAGACAACTATAAGATGGCTAGAATAAGGCCAAATATATCAGACACTAATGGTGGAATAAATACCACGATTCAAAAGTGGGGACTCTCAGATTGAGCTAAAAGAAAATCCAGAGGGGACATTCATCCATCCACTTTAACAAGTCTGGGTGAGGCTCTCCGCCTGCAGTGAACCGTCTCCTGGACATCGTACACTTCCCACATCACCCAGTGTCTTCCTCCTTCCAGGTCCCTCTGCCAGCGACGGCCCCATCACCCACCCAGTCCTCCAAGCTGAGTTCCTAGACGTTGCCTTGGTCTGCTCTCTCCCCACTCCCTCCACCAGAGTCAGTCTCGAGTCCTATTATTCGGCCTCCAGGCCTCCAGCAGAACCCCCTAAAGGCATCGCCTCCTTCCCATCCACACTGCCTTTGTTGAAGCATCCGACATCTCTTACTCCGAAAGAAAGTTACTTTCTTCTTTTGCATCAGAGTGGCTATTAATCGTACTCCCTTTTCTTGCATTTAATATCTGTGCAGCTCTGTGTTGGATACATTTAGACCTAGGCATCATCTCGCCACCTCCTTAAATCTCCATTTTACAGATGAGGAGACAGGCTCAGTGAAGTTAAACTGCTCACCCAAGGTGGCAGAACTCCTAAGTGCTGGAGACAGGGCTCACACCCAGGTTTGCCTGCCTCTAAAATGGAAGCTACTGACCAATATGCTACACTGATGTCAGCATGGATCAGGAGGGGAATGGTACAGGGTGGGTAAAGTTCCAAACTCTGGAGTTCCAGAGATGGGAGAGAAGGCCAGAGAAAGGGTGGAACAGGGAGGTAGCCTGTGAACACCTGAGTCCAATCACATCCCTCCTCTGCTCAGAGCCCTCCCATGGCTTCATCTCACTCAGGGGAAAAGCCAGCGTTCTCACTGTGGCCCACCCCACATGGTCTGCCCCCATCACCTCTCCCACCTCCCCTCTCACCACTCACCCCCTCACTCATCCTGCTTCAGCTACACTGGCCTCCGATGGTCCCTGATCATGCCCCAAAATACTCCTACCTCAGGGCCTTTGCACTGGACACTCCCTCTGTCAGGAAGGGAAGGCTCTTCCCCAGAGGTCCACATGGCTCCCTCTTTGGGACTTAGCTCAAGTACCCACCTTCTCAGTGAGGCCTCCCCGATCACGCATAAAGTTGCAATCCCACCACGGTCCCAATCCCGCCTTCTTGCTTTATTCCTCTTCAAAGCCCTTTCCCATCTGACAAACTAAACTTTCTCGTCTGCCCTTCCTCACCAGAAAGGTCAGCTCCGGGAGACCAGCGGTTATTATTATCTGTAACCCCAATGCCTAGCACATGGCTGGCACGTGGTGGGTACCTGACAGATGTTTGCCCAATGCCTGCATGTCTCCTCCCCCATGCCCACTGGGAGGGAAAGATGTTGCTGAAGAGCAAAGGGCTTTAAAGGTCAGAGCAGCAGGGGCCTGTTCAGACCCAGCGGACAGAGACCCCCTACCTTTCCTCAAACCTGAGCACCCCTGACCTGGCCCCCACAGAGATAGGTCCGAGGGCTGTCATAAATTAAATTTAGGACTTCCCTGGTGGCGCATTGGTTAAGAATCCGCCTGCCAATGCAGGGGACACAGGTTCGATCCCTGGTCCGGGAAGATCCCACATGCCGCGGGAGCAACTAAGCCTATGCGCCACACCTACTGAGCCTGCACTCTAGAGCCCACGAGCCACAACTACTGGGCCCGAGTGCCACAACTACTGAAGCCCGTGCACCTAGAGCCCATGCTCTGCAATAAGAGAAGCCACCGCAGTGAGAAAGCCACGTGCAGCAACAAAGACCTAACACAGCCAAAAATAAATAAATTTTAAAAAATTAATGAATTAAATTTATTTTCCAGAGAACATGGTCCTTGGTGTTGAATGGTAGATGTGGGGAGGACATTTGGGACCTGAGGAACAGGGGATATGGGGCTGGGGTGCCAGGTGCCAAGAGAAACCCTCACAGTGGCTCCTCAGAGATTATCAATGTCAGCACATCATGAAGGACCCCTCCTCCAACCACCAGTCCCCCTTTACTTCTTCTTCTTGCGGCCCCAGCACTGGCGGCCTGCCTTCCGCCCGCCTCTGTCCTCTCTTCTGCTCTGCCAGCTGGGCATGGGAGCCTCCAGCTCATTTGGGCGGCCCCCCCGGTCTGGAACGCTGCCCATAAGCACCTGAGAGGTGATTAGACTTGAGTTGCAGAGAAGAAAAATATCTTGGACAAGGGGGCTAGAGAGCCAAGAGAACAGCATGAGGTTGAAAAAGGAAGGGCAGATGCTGGGACTTCCTTGGTGGTCCAGTGGTTAACACTCCTTACTCCCAATGCAGGCTAAATACGTAATCATTTGAACAGAGGGTAGTTTTGCTTTAAAAATGGTTAAAACCCAATACAGCGGACAGGGTGAGTGGTGGGAGAGGATTCTAAGCCAAAGCAGGAGAGGTGGGCAGGGCCTCAGTAAATAGGTAGACTTTGTTCTGAAGGCACTGGGGAGCCATAGAAGGGTTTTGAGCTAGGGAGGGACATGGTCAGATGTTTGAGTTAGAAACATCCTTCTAACTGCCATGTGGAGGGGGCAGATTAGAGGTCGTGAGTCCAGAGGCCAGGAACCCAAGGAGAAGGCGAGAGCAGGAGCCCAGGCAGAAGAGGACAAGGTTTGTACAAGCAAAGGCTAAAAGGCCAGTTTGAAGGCCAAGGATGCTGGGGCCCTTCCCCATCCCCAGGTGTTCACCTTGTGGATAGCACAGCAGGTCCCTCGGCGGGCAGTCTTGCTGGTGGCTGGGACAAGGCGTGACAGGTCAGCTCGAGCAGCCAGGACGTGTGCAATGGAGACATCCGATTCTGGGGTCAGAGCCTCTCGAATTGGGATCAGCACTGCCTTCATGGCCTCTCCTTGGGCCTAGTGAGTAGGGGTAGACATGGAGAACGTGCCCACGAGACCTCCCCAGATGGGATCTGTAATCTTGAAAGCATCTCTTCCTGTCTCAGGGCCTCACTTCCCACATCTTTTTTTCTTTTTTAATATCTCATTATGTTTCTTGTTTGGTTGCTTTATCGAAGTATAGTTGACTTACAATGTTGTGCACTTCCCACATCTTTTAGTAAGGAGTATTGCTCTAAATACACTCCCAGATCAGACCAGGGAATTCCCTGAGATTCCAGACCCCCAAACCTCACAAGATTCTAAAATGTCCTGGGCCTCAGAACCAGCAAGACCCCCGAACCTCACAAGATTCTAAAATGTCCCTGGCCCTCATGTCTCCTCCCTGCAGCTGCAGCCTTCACAACTGCTCCTGCCTTGGTCTTCTGCCCACACCTCTGCCCGATCACTCCAGTGGAAAGCAGATGTTGTGAGGTCCAGGCGCTTGAGGAGGAGGCAGCGGCGGCAGCAGTACTGATCTCGCAGGCTTTGGTGCAGAGACTCCAATGCTTCCTGGGGGAAAAGGTCTCAGTCATGCCAGGGGCCCCCCTCACTCCCACCTCTGTTCACATACATACAGCCATACACAGCCTTACCCATCTAGGTGCATCCAGCGGGTAGCTGAGGAGAGGCTTTAGGGACCCTGCGGGCAGGGAAGGCAGCAGCTCTGCGATCTGATGAGAGAAGAAGGAGGCTGGGGTTGACTGGGCAGAAATCGGATAGACTCCTCCGTGGACCCCAGTTCCCCACGACCCTGAGGACCCCGGCCACAGAACCAAGAATGGCAGTCACAGTTCTAGGAAACATCCGTGGCTGTGCACTCCTCCCAGAGCCACTTTTGAAGAGGGGGCTGTCCCCCCTACGAGGAGAGTGAGGTGAGCCGGGTGCGGAGGGGGCTCCAGCCCTCTACCTTGGCATGCAAGTCTCGAAGCAGCTGGCTGGCTGGGGTCCCCGGCATGGGTCTAGGCAGCCCCAGCGCTTGGAGAGTAAGGACCATTTCCTGGACCAGGCCAGATCCCTCCTCTGCTCCCTCCACACCGGACTGCTCAGGGCTGGGATCCAGACGGGACTGCAGGCGGAGGAGGCGAGCAGCCTGGACCTCCGAGCAGAGAAAGCCTAAAAGTAGGGGAAAGGAGCAGTCCAATCAAGGAGGGCTGCCACCCCACCTACCGGGGTCAAAAAGTTCAAGCGGCTTCAAAACCTCCCGCCTCCTAGTTCCGCCCACCTAGAATCCTGCTTCTACCTCCAGAATAAGCCCCACTCACTTCGAGACCCAGCTCCCTCTGCAGATTTTCAAACCCTGCCCACTTCGGAACCTCCTGTCCCGCTCCGTCTAACCCAACCCACGTGAGCTTCAAAACCCACCATCAAAATACTAACCCCGCCCATCGCAGAGCCCTTAGCCTAGCCCAGGGTTCGGACCCCACCCACCTCCGTCCGGCCCTCTTGCTGGTCTCAAAATTCTGACCACGCCCCTTCGGGATCCCGGCTCCCCCTCAACGCGCAGAGCCCGCCCCCCTCGAGGCTGTAGCCTCGCCCACTTCCGCATCCCGGCCAGCCCCCTGCTCACGCAGCAGGCGCAGGCGCACGCCGGGCTCCCGCAGCGAGGCCCCGCAGTTCCCGCCGCAGAGCTTGCGGTCTGGGCAGTGCAACTCCCGCAACAGGCCGGCCAACTGTCGCAGGAATTCCTCCTCGGGAACAGAACCTGCTGGAGGCGGGAGATGTCAGGGCGTGGCGGCGCCACCCATGGCTCCGACATTCCCAGCCTCCCGCTCCATGCGTACCGTCGCCGGCGTTCAGCGCCTCCGTGCCCTCCTCTCGCTGCCGCTCCAGGGCACCCAGAGTCGCCAGCTCCGCCGCCAGCCGCGCGCACAGAGCCCTGAAGTCTGGGCACGAGGTTCCCAGCGACGCCGCCCCCGAAAAACCCTCATACCTGCGGCGCGGCCGAGGCAGCGGGAGGGGGTGGGGGAGGTTAGTAGGAATTTCTGAGGGCAAACCTGCCCCTTCCTGCACCCCCAGCCACAGCCCGCTCCCCTTACCCCAGCGCCAGCAGGTCCCGGACCACCGCGGCCCACTCCCGCTCCTCCGCCTCCGCCCCCTCCATGAAACTGTAGCCCCTTCGCCCGGCGCGCGCTCCCCCTGCCGGTCGGTGGGAAGCTCCGCCCCAGGAGTGGCGTGCGTCCCCACCCCCCCGTAACTGACCAATCAGCCTCTTCTTGCTAAGGGCCTTCGTCATTTCAATTGGTGCAGAAGGAGGCAGAACCCGCCCCCGGGCTCGCCTCCAGAGCCGAGCAGTAGAGCACCGCCCTTCGGGTAAGCAGTCAGGACACTGGAAACCCCCAGCGGGCGTTCTGAATCCCGGCTGTCGCGACAGACCAGCGATGTCGCTACTGCTGCGACATAGAAGCAACTTCGGCTTCCTTTTCCTCAGCCTCCCTCAAATGCCCTCTGCTTTTAAAGCAACTTTGACCAAGTGTTGTTCTCCCAACTCCTCTCCAAGTCCAGAAACTCTTTCCCTCCTTTCCTACTTAGAGTTGGAATTCTGTCGGGGACCCAGGAATCCCAGCTACACACACACACACACCAAACCGAGTTAGTCCGTTGGACCTTCACCCCTCTGCCCCCCTGAGCCTTGGAGAGAGGGAGCAGGTGCAATATATTATGGTGATTAAGAGATTGCACCCTAGGAGTGCAATCTTGTCTGCAGGCAAAGGTTAGGATTTGACTCCACCATTCACCACCATTGTGTTCCTGCCAAATTTCTTCACATCTGTGTAATGAGGGTAATAACGCCTACATTTTACAGTTGTTTGTGAGGATTAGTGCTTAGCAGACATCTACGGGGTACTCTATTAAAAATGACTAACATATATTGAGCATTTCGTGTGTGCTACTGGGCTAAGTATCTTATCTCTATTTTATGGAAGAGAAAACTGTGATGCAGAGAGGATGAATCATAGAGTGAATGCATGGTGGTGCCAGGACTCCAAATTCAGATCTGATTCCAAAGTCCGTGCTTTTAACCACTTAACCTACTACTATTGTTATTACTGCTCTTGTTTTTGTAGCTGTTGTTAAAATTATTGTTCCAGGTTTACTCTCTTCCCGACTCTATCCTGGTCTCCTGTAGTTTCTGTAGTTCTACTGGGAGTGGGAGTGAACTGAGAGTAGAGCCTCAGGGAAGAAAAGGGCCAGAACCTGTTTCTCCAGGGCAGAGCCTACCCTTAATCTGTTTCCTCCATAGTCCTGCGTACCCCAAGGCTGGGTACTCAGGGGGCATTTGTTGACCTTAATAAAATACTAAAAAGTGATCAGGCCAAAGCCTTGGAGTCGTAACCTTGACTCTACTCTTTATAGTGTACTCCATATCTAAATTGGTGAACTTGACCTTCAAAACAGATCCAGTATCTTGCCCACTTCTCCCCGCCTCCACTGTTCTCACCCTCGTCCTGTGCACCACTGTCCCCCCTAGACCATCCCAGCAGCCTTCACCATGTCTCCACAGCCCCTCCTCCCCAGTATCTGTCCCCCACAGGCAGCAAATGGGAACCTATGAATACCTGAGTCAGGTTACATCCCTCCCATGCTTGGAGCCTTCCTGTAGCTCCACCTCACTCCGGGTGAGCAGAAAAGTCCATGCAGTAGCTTGCAAGGCCCCACAGATCCTCCCTGTCACCTTTCAGCCTTCATCTCCTAAGCACCCTCCTCCTTGCCTCCCCCCGTCCAGCTCCCTTGATGTCCCGCAGACTTACCAGGCATGCTTCTCCCTCAGGGCCTCGCACAACTGTCCCCTTTACCTGGAGTGCTCTTCCTGCAGACATCCACAAGACCCCCTCACCTCCTTCAGGGCTTTATTCAAACGCCAGCTCCTTAGTGGGGACTCCCTGACCACCCCAGCTACAACTGCCTGTATCCCCCATCTCCACTTTATTTTTTCTTTATAGTATGTATCATTTCTAACATGTTGTCTCCTTCACTATAAGGCTCATAAGTTCCTTGTGGGAAAGGATTTTGTCTGTTCTGGCCTCGTGGCTTGAGGGATCTTAGTTTCCCAACCAGGGATTGAAACTGCACCCTTGGCAGTGAAAGTGATGTGGAGTCCTAACCACTGGACCGCCAGGGAATTCCCCAATTTTTGTCTGTTCTGTTCACTGCCTTATCCCCAGCGCCAATAAAAAGGGTGTCCAATAAATGTAGAGTGACTGGAGGTATAAGATTCAGCTGGAGGATCTGCTTGGGACTAAAGGATGGGAAGGGGAAAGGAGGATTTGGGTAGGGGACTGGTCTGGTGGTTCAGGAAGGTGAATGGATGGGGTGCATCAATGCAAATAAAGAACACAGGCTGAGACTTTGTCACAGACATTTCTTGGAGCCGATATCTCATGCCCCCTCCCCCGATGACAAGGCTGGGTCTTCGGCCCGCATCATCCCCCGCTACTTCAGCCTGCCCTGATAACAACATTGAGGTCACAGACTGGCTTAGAATCAAGATCAGGAAGATAAATGTCGGGGTGCCTCTCCCGAGTATGGGGGCCAAGCATCCAATCTGAGGGGCAAGCAGCTGGGAAATTGGGCCTGGGGGCTCCAGGGTCTGAGGTCTTCCTGGCTCCCAGGGTCATCCCTCCATGCACCCCTGATCTAGGGGTGATGAAGAGTAATCATGGATCAGAGGTGGGTATCAGCAGGGAGCAGGACTGGGAGACCTGGGAGAGGCGGTGCTGGGAGGTGGGAGCCAGGGAACCGTCCCCCAGCCCCCCACTTCATCCGCAGATCCCGCAGCACCTTACAGCACTCTGGTCCCCCGTCCCACCCCTCCCCAAAACGAGGTAGGTTAAGAATGGAGCTTCCCCCCGCCCACCACGGAAGGGAGGAGACCGAGGCACAGAGAGGGGGATGGGGACCCAGGCTGCCCCAGCCTCCAGTCCCTCCGCCCTCAGCTCTGGTGGGTCTGACAGTGATGAGAGCTGGGCAGAGTGGAGATGGGAGGGACACCCCCCTTTTCTCTCACCCATCCCAGGGTCTGCTTGAGAGAGCTGAATCTCACAGGTTCCGGATATAATAAATAGTTAATAATTTAAAGGAAGTGACAGGAGGATCCACCCCTCTGGCCCCCTTGACCTATCCCTTGAACCCCCACAAGGCTATCCCAGTCTGGGTAATGAGGAAAGGTAAGTGCACATTTCAAGGTGCTCGGGACCAGATGCAGGTCCCAAGCCCGTACAACATTGAGATTGTGTTGCTCCAAGACCGTGATACCCCCCCCCCCCCCCACGCAGGAGGCCATCAGATCTGTGGTACACTAGAAGTCCCATTCCACTCAGGGGAAAGTGACCTTGGAATCCCCCTTCCCCAGAAGAGGACTCTCGATGGGCCATGAACCACGCTTTCAAACTTTCCGAAACAACCCCCAACTCTGAAATGGAAGAGAAGGAGTTAACAGAGGGGCAGATCATAAAAGGCTTGGACTAGGGCTAGGACTCAAAGTTGGGCTTGGAAGAGAGTCTGCAAGGCTGGCGTGTGTGTGTGTGTGTGTGTGCGTGTGTGTGTGTGTGTGGTGTGTGTGTGTGTGTGTGTGTGTGTGTGTGGCCTTTGTGCCAATAGAGCCATATCTAGTTGCCTTTGTGCAATGCCCGCCTTCCTCTGAGGGCACAGCATGGCCAGCCCCACTCACCACCTTGGCTGTGTGCCTCTGCTTCATGAACAGCCTGCACAATCATCTACAGCAACGCTGGGTCCTAGAGGTGGGAGCAGGGGTGCTCTTGGGTGGTCCTGGAATCCAGGAACATTACCTCAAAATGTTTTTTTCCCCTTAGGGTAAAGGGGTAGTTCTGTGGGATACTGAGAGCTTGGGCTGGAGCCCTTGGGACTAGAATTCCAGTGTCTGGGAACTTGGGGTTTCAGGGGCGTATGGATGGCAGGATTCAATGGGCAGCAGGTCTCAGGGGATGCACAAGCTGGGCCTGGGAAGTATCAGGCTAGAGAGGTTTGGGTCCAAAGAAATCTGGGATCTGAAGGTGCTAGGGTCCCAGGGAGCCTCAGATTTGTCTCTGGTATGGAGGGACCAAGGTCTTGGGTCAGGGACGATCCCAATATTGTGTAGGCTTGAGTGCTGAATTTGGGGGTCAATGGCACCTTGGGGTCTTGGATCTAGTGCTCCTAAAGCACCTTGGGGTCACTCAGGGGCAAAGGGTCAGAGGTCTGAGTTGCCATGAACATCCCATCTTGTGGGAGCTGGGCTCCCAGCCTTTAGTGGATTGGGGAATTTGTGGGTACGAAGAAGCCAAAGATTCCAGGACATTCTGGGGCTTGAAATGCAAGTCCAAGGAGGATTGGAAGAGGGCTATCTGAGAGGTTGGGACCAATGTGTTGGGCCCTGAGGTGTTGGTTGCCTCCAGTCTTACACCTGCGGGACTAGGCATCTCAGAGTCCTACATATGAAGTCGAAAGCTCCTGGGAACACAGGCTTGGTGTCGGTGGTCTACAGACTTCTTTGATCCCTGGCTCACAGAGCATCTTGGAGTCTTAATTCTGGATCTTGGGCAGTGTGCGTGTGGGGAGGGGGGGCTCTGAGATGGGTCTCCCAAGTCATTTGGGTCAGAGAACATCCGTTTGAGCACATCCAAGGACTCAGAGTATCTTAAGAGGATTTGGTATCTAAGAAGTCCTGGGGCTACAAGAACATCTCAGATACAGGTGCTCCGAGTTTTAGGTGAGCATTCAGGAACGATTTAGGGGTGATTCTGGGTCTTAGGGTCTCAAGATCTGGGAGTAATTGTATACAGGCAGGGTCAGGTACCGGCAACTCCTAATTCTGGGGTTGTAATTTGAGGGTTCATGGTGCCAGGCATGACTGGGTCTAGATTGGTAATTTGAACAGTGAGTCAGGATTCAGAGCCCGATTCTCAGGGATCCGTGTGCTCCCCTGCCTGCCTGAGGTGAAGAGTCTGGGCATCCCTGGAATCTGCTCAGTCTAGGCCAGAGCGGGGCGGAGTGGGGATGGAGAACGGGGACGCCAGAACTCAGGATGCCTGGGACCTCTTGGAGAGACATCCCAATGAAGCTGGTTCTGGGGTCTCTCAGTCCTACATTTGGGGTCCAGGTTCCAGGTCTGGGGTCCCTCAATCCAAACTCAAGCTCCAAGTTCCGGGTGTGTCTAGGTTTGGGTTTGGGGTCCGAACGGAGTCCGGGGTCCTGGACCCTCAATTTTGGGTCCTCGGTCCGGCTACCGGACCCACCAGGCCGTCCTCACCGCGCCGCCTCCTCGTGGCGACCCCCGCAGCCTGCGCAGCCGCATCGCGCTGCGACCCAGTGGCATGCGCGCAGGGGCGCGTAGCAGCAGAGGCAGGGCACGGCGAGGGAGAGTGCGGCCAGCGCGGCCCAGCGCGCGGCGGGGCGCGGGTGGCCCGGCTCGCAGGCGCACGGGTCCGAGAAGTCGCCCTCGGCATCCGACAGGCAGTGGTAGAGCAAGCTCTCGGCGCACCACAGGCAGCTGAGACGCCGCACCAGCCGGCGACCCGGGTCCGGGGCCTCGGCGCAGCGGCCGCCACGCCCGTCGGCGCGACGGCGGAAGAGCGCGCGGCAGTGCACGCAGCGCGCCGCCTCCTCCGCCTCCGGGGAGGCCTTGGTAGGTGCAGGGGCCGGGCCGGGGCCCGGGGGTGGGCGAATCGGGGGTGCTGGAGGCGCAGCCTCGGTGAGAGGGGCGGGCAGGGCTGTGGGGGGCCCCAGGGCTGCGCCCCTCAACGCGCCGGTCTTGGCGAAGCGCACGACGCAGGTGGATAGGGCGAGGGGTGCGGGTGGCCCAGCTCGCCGGTAATCCTCATAGCCGCGGCCGCCCCAGCCCAGCCCCCCTGTCCCGGCCAGGGGTTCTGAAGGCTCCGGAATCCCCGTGAACGGTAGGAGCGGAGGGTAGCTCTGCGGGACGAAGACAAAGGAGAAGAAGTTAGCGGGGTCTGTGATGCCCCACATCCCACCACAATCCATCCCGGCCTTAGAAGACCCGAGAATCCACAGACCCAGCCACAGGCGTCATTCATCCTAGGATCCTGCCCTGGTATCCTGACTGCCTGGGTCCGGTACTCAGACTTGTAAGTCCTCAGCCCACTCCCCTCCCAGGGACAGAGGACATCTAGGGACCGACAGAAGACTCCGGGAACCAAACCCACACCTTAAGGACCCAGTGGTCCAGGCTCTCAGTCCTGCCCTCTCTCAAGATCCGGGGTCCCAGTACCCAGCCCCCTCTACTCTCTGATTCAAGACTCCTGGACCCCAGCCGTCTCCTCCTTCAGGACGCAGGAGTCTGGTCCCCAGGTCCCTTTTACCCCTTGGATACTGAGCCCTACCCCTCGTGAATTAAGCACTAAAGGACTCCTTCCACGAGTACCACCAACTTCCTAATATAGTCATTGTCCGAGTCGTCCCCTAAACCTCTGTGGAATTCAGAACTTTCCAGTCTCCAAGAGCGCAGGAGACGCAGGAAGCCCTCACCCAACCTTCCGAGGAACCCAGGCCTAAGCTCCCCCGCCGTAAGTCGGGTCAGCCATCCCTTAGAATCTGTGGTTTCTTGCCCCTCTGCGGCCTCAGTTCCCGCCCACTTTCGGGACCCCAGCGCCCGGCCTTATTTCACCGGGGGTCGGAGGTCGCACCTGAGCTGACAAGCGGCGGCGCTGGGGGGGCGTGGCCGGCCCGAAGCCAGAAGCTGACTCCACGGTGACGATGGGGGCCGCCGCTGCGGTGGGAGGCGTCTCCTGGTGGCTGTGACTGGAGGAGGAGTCGCTGTCCACGTGGGACTGGGGGAGATTGGCGGCCTCAGAGCCGGGACCCCTGGCACAGCCGATGCCCTTACATAGACCCCCTCCCATTGTGAGCGAGGGCTCTGCGGCCAGACAGGCCTGGGTTCAAGCCCCGGCTCTGCCACTGACTGGTTGTGTGACCTCCGGCAAGTGAGCTCAGCTCTTTGAGCCTCAGTTTCCTCTTCTGTAAAATGGGGATCATAATATTGTCTATTCGTAACGATGTGGTTAGGACCCACTGTAAAGGGCATAAACATGCCTGAAGTACAGGAAGGGCTGGAAATGGTTATTATTATTTGACTTTCTCTTCTTATCTGCTCAGCTCACCAACCTACAGAACATCAAACCAACCTCCCTTCTCAGAAGCCCTCTCCCTTGGCTGTCAGCTGCCTTCCTGCCTCCTTCCCACCACCACACCTTTACTGGGGCAGTTCCACCCACCTGGAATGTGTTCCTTCCCATCCAAACCAAGCTCTGTCCTTTACGAGCTTCTCAGACCCTTGGTTTCCTTGCTGTAACTTGGGAATAATTCCCACCTCATCCGATTACTATCTTCAATAAACATTCATTGAGCACCCACGACATGCCAGGCTCACAAAGGCCATCGGGAGGGTGTGAGATGGAGCATGGAGAGCACAGCATCTTTCCTGAGTAAGTGCTCAATAAGTGGGACCTGTCTGTGTGACTTTGTAGACCCACCTGCATCTCCCATTACCCTGGGAATCTCCCTTTTCTGCCCAGGGAACCAGTTTTGTTCTTCCAAGTGTTCTCGAGCAACTCCCACTGTACCCCAGCAAATGCCAAATCGAATCCGACATTATGTGCATTTATTCATTCAATCAATTTATTCAACACATATTTACTGAACACTTACTGTCTACCAGGCACTGTTTTAAGCATTGAAGATGCAGCAAGAAAGCAACAAAAGATCCTTGCCCTCCTGGAGCTGACATGCTAGCATGAGAGATGGACAGTAAAGTCATTGATAAGAAAACTGTCTATTGGGAGAGGAAATACAAAAAATATCTTAGAAGGTGGGGATAAAGAGTAGGATAAGGAGCACTGGGAGATTTTAAACAGGTTACTCAGGGAGGGCCTCACTAAGGTGATGTGTGTGTAAAGCCCTGAAGGAAATAAGGGAATAAGCCATGTGGAAATTTGGGGAAGAGTGTTCTAAGACAGAGGAACGGCGAGTGCAAAGGCGCTGAGACAGGAATGCGCCTGCCCTTTTGGAGTACCAGTAGGAGGCCAGTGTGGCTAAAGCCAGGTGAGCATGAGGGAGAGTAATAGGAGGCCAGATTGTGTGGGATCTTATGTGCCACTGTGAGGACTTTGTCCTTTACCACGAGTGAGATGGAGCCTGGGTAGGGTTGTAAGTGGGAGATATCCATGATTTGACTTAGATGTCAATAGGGTCCCTCTCTGTGTGTGGGGAAAGGAGATGGTGGGGAGGGGGCAGTTGATGAGATGGTCCAGTGGGGAGATGAGGTTGAACAGTAACCAGGTTGGAGGCACATTCCGATCATTTTGAAAGTGGAACCAGGGAATTCCCTGGAAATCCAGTGGTTAGGACTCAGCGCTTTCACTGCCAGGGCCTGGGTTCAATCCCCAGTCTGGGAACTAAGATCCCACAAGCCATGCAGTGTGGCCAAATTTAAAAAAAAAAAAAGAAAGAAAGTGGAGCCAATATTTGCTGACAGATTAGATGAGGGGCATAAAAGAGGAGAGGAGGCAAGGATGACTCCAAGGTTTGTACCCCTAAGAAGGATGGATTTCCCATTAATTTGTTCATCCATTTGCTTTTAATATTTATTCATTTTTATAGTGTACCTTAATATTTTTTCTGCCTTTCCACACTAGAATAGAAGCTCCTCGAGGAAAGGGACTTTGTTTTGTTCACTGATGTATCCCCAGTGCTTAAAACACTTCTTATTCAAGGTGTTCAATAAATACCCTTGAATGAACATATAAATCAGGATAGAACAGAAAAACTAGAATAACTGGGATCAAAATTGACACTATTGTTTGGGCCCCAATTCGTGTGCCCAGCACGTGGCATGGTGCTGGATACCCAGTAGGTGCTCAAGAATGTTTGTAGCATAGTAAGAAACCCCTGCCCTCCCAGCAGAGCTGCCTCCTGGAGACTCACCGTCAGAGGGCAGGGAGTGTCTGCGGTATCCTGGGAAGGGGAGGAGGAAGAGGAGGAGGAGGAGGAGGGGGTGAGCGAGCCTGGGGCAGGGAGAAAGGCAGAGAGTGAGTTCCCTGGGCCCGGCTTCTCCCACCCTCCACCCCAGCCCCCCCCCACCACCACCAATGCCCACCACCTGCACCACTCACCTCGACCCAGTGCAGCCAGTGCTGCCAGCAGGCTCTTCTGGAACTCATCAGCCTCTGCCGGACTCTGAAACGTCAGCCCAAACTTGCAGTCACCCAGGCTCCAGTGATGGAAGATGGGGTTCACCTTGTTGTAAACCAAGCCTGGCCGCAGGGTACACTCCAAGGTGGTCTGAGGGGGGCAGGAAGGGACCAGGTCAGATATCCCCCCTTCCAGCCATGCCTGTGACTTCCCCAGACTCTATACCAGAGCATCCCACAAACTTCATTTCTCAACCCTAGGTGTACCCTTGAACCCTGATCAACACCCCAATACCACTCCCCAACTTCACTGGGCACACCTCTGATACTCCAATATTTCCCCCAAACCCCTTGATCCCTACATTTTCCTAACCACCCCCTGCCCCATATCTCAATAGGAATCCCAAATTTTATTGAATGCCTCAAAAAATGAGTCAACCTCTTTCTGAGAGCCAATATCCCCCATGTGACTCAATCATACTCCCCAAATTTTACTGAACATCTCAAAATGTTATTGTTAATCCCCTTCTGATGCCCCAATAAGCTCCCCAAATATTATCCCCCAATTCTTAACAAACTCCCACATATTTCCCCTCAGATGCTGGTCAACACCCTAGAAGTTCCCTCATCTTTTTGCCCAACAACACTATATTCTTTGACACCATTTCAAACCCCCCTACATTGTTCCTTCCGATCCTTGCTCTGAAATTCAACCCTTACTCCAAGCCTTTTCAAACGATCCAAACCTTTCTACTACACCCCCAGCTGCAACGTCAACATTCTCTTTCCATTTCAGGCCAGACAGCCCAGAACATTCCTGCTGAACCCACATTAGGATTGTAAACCCTACTGGACACTTCCAGACGGTCCCCCCACCAAATGCCTCCATACACTTAGGGCAGACAGGGGCCAGTGGTGTAAAATCCTCGTGATGAGAATCTCTGAGCAAGATGGAGCCACGGGGAGGGTTCCGAGCCGAGGAGGGATAGGATCTGAGTCAGGTGTTAGCCCAGCCCCTTTTGAACAGACTGAGGTTGGGGGAGGGAGCAGCAGAAGGGCAAAGAGACCAGTGCGAGGCTGCTGTGACAGTCCAGCAGGCAACGGCAGTGGACAGGACCTGCTTAATACCCCCAATAGTCCCCAAACTCCCCACTCTCAGACAGAGGACAGATATGCTTCCAACTCCATCCCACACCCCGGTGCTGCGAGATGACCTGACCTCACCTCTACATCCCCAGTCCCATTCCCCTACTTCCCCACACCCTCACCCTACCCCCACGCCCCAGGGTGGCTCACTTTCTGGTCCCGGAGGCGCTCCCCGTGGATGACGTAGTGCCCCTGGCGGGCCCCCCCCTCGGGCCTGGCCCCTCGGACCCGACATACGCTCACCTGGCTGAGGCCCCCGCCCCCCACAGGCAGCCAGCCCCCACTGGAGTCATCTCGGGCCATCACCACGGCTCGGACCCGAACCATGTACCTGGAGGAGGTGGGGGGACAGGGACAACAGGGTCAGTGAGCGTCAATCCTGCTCTCCAATTCAGTGTTCCCCCAACCCTCATCTCTGCTCTTCATCCCTCACAGCTGGATCTACTGCACCCTTAGCCACCCCTACTCACCTTACCTTCCACACCCACCTCCTCCCCTAGGCCCACTGTCTCCCCATACCCGTCACCTCTCTTATGCCCACCTTCTTCCAGCATGGCTTCTTTCTTCCTCTTGCCATCTCTTTTCTCCCATGCCTACCTTCTTCTCCATATCTACCTTTTTTCTCCATACCCACCTTTCCTCCCTTTCCCCATCTTTCCCATCCTCACCCCCATAGCTTTGCTCTTCCACTTCCCTTCCTCCTCCTGCTCATCCCCTATCAACCCTGTCTCCTTCTCCTCCCTCAGCACGTACCCACGGCCCCACCCATCGTCCCCCTCACAGCTGGGTGCCTGCGCATATGTATTTTCTTAGAGCCCATCAACTCAGCTCCAGTCCCCCCTACACTGCCTCCGCACCCTGCCGCCCAGGCCACTGGCTGGGTGAGAAACCCAGGCTCTCTTCCCCCCCACCCCTTCCCGGATTTATGAATGAGACCGGATGCAAAGCTCACTGAGTCACCCAGCAACGGGAGATGGGCAGGGAGCAGGGAGAGAACCAGAAATGGCCAGAGACAGGCCGAAAGGGAGATGGAGGCAGAGGAAGCCAGAAACGGGCGACCGAGACACATCCAGAGAGCATTTCATTCACAAAAATCAAGCCTGCTCTCTCAGGCCCCTGCCGAGGAAAGGCAAGGGGCAGAGATTGCGGGGGGTGGGGGGCGGGGGGAATTGATCCCTCCTCCTCTCCCTCCCCGCCCCAGCATCTTTCAGAACCATCTTACCCCGCCCCCCAGCTCAAGGGACGTAGCCCTCCGCCCAGTAATCGGGATCAGCGTCCAACCCCTCACTACCGCCGAGCGCAGGGACCTTGGCGCCCCAGCCTTAGGGACCCCAGCAACGAGGTCTAGCCCCTTCCCCCACCTGCAGGCTGCCGGGTTTCCCCAGCCCTTGGGGAGGGGAAGGGGCGGCCGCAGCGCCCCCAGCCCCCTTTTCTCAATGGGATGGGATTTTGTGAATGAGCAGTCACGTGACGCTGCTTCCTTTGTCCGCCCGCCTCCCCCGACAACAGGTGAAGCAGAGAAAGAGGGCAGGGGTCCCCCCCGCACCAGGGCCTACTGGGATGGGACGCCGGGCTTTCTGGATGCCCTACGCTCCCCACACATCTGTTTCCCGGGGGGAGTGGTCCCCTGAGTTCCCCAACGGTGAGGGTCCAGTACGGAATTTTATGAATGGGGCGTCCTCCGAGGAAGTCCAGGCCCCCCAAATGGACACTGGTACCCCAAATGGCTGCCGCGCAGTTTGGGGGCCCCCACCCCCTTGTCCTTCCAGCCAGGGTCCGGGGGGGGTGCCCCGGTGGGCAGGAGGCGCAGCGCGGTGCTGTCTGCCCCCTCACCGTGACAGGCGGTCTGTCAGCCCCCGCCCCCTCGCCCCCCTCTGCACCTGCCTGGGAGGCTCCGGCCGGGCTCCGAGCGGTGGCGACGTGGCCTCCTCCTCCTCCTCCTCCTCCTCCTGTTCGCTCCGGCTCCCTCGCTGGCTCCGGCGGCGCTAGAGACGGGCACCGGGAGCCGGGGCGAGGGGGGAGGGAGGGGGAACCTGAAAGATGGGTGGGGGGGAGGGGGCGGCTTGGGGGAGGGGTAAGCGCGAGGCAGGCGCACTTGCCCGCTGGGTCCTAGAGCCCGGCACTGGCTCCAGCGAACAGCCCCCCAGCCCGCATTTTCTCAGGATCCAGAGAGGATCCCCTACTTTCCCACCCATCCGCGCCATTGGTCCCTGAGGATATGAGGAAGGGGTCCGGGACGGAGCCTGGTCTCAAGGTTCTAAAGAGGCAAGGGTCTACGTTTTGGGTTCTAAATGGGAGGGGCTGGGTGCCCGGCTAGGTTCGAAAAGGGGTGGGGCAAGAAGGGAGCATTTGCAAGGAGGCGGGGTCGGAGGACCTGGGGGAAGGAAAGGGGGAAGGAGAGGGTGAGGACGCCGAAGGCGCGGACAAGCGCGTGCGTCAAGAAAGGGGCGGGTCCACGGAGGAAGGACCTTCTGGGCGGGCCCGAGCAAGGAGAGGGTCTAGGGAAGAGAGGTTTCCAAGTCCTAAGGGGGCGGAGCTTATAAGTAAATTGTCTTTAGGGGCTGGACGACGGAGAGCTCCAAAAGGGAGGAGCTACGTAGCAGTGTTTGTAATGGGCGGGGCTTCGGGAGAGAGACTAACGGAGAGGGGCGGGGCATTATAAAGGGGAGGGGCTTAAAACGTTCTATAGGGGTGGGGCCTAGGACTACAAGGCTTGGGGGCGGGGAAGAAGACTCCCGAGTATTTCAAAGGGAGAACCGGGTTCGTAAGGGGCCGTGCCCAAGCTGGCTCAAGGAGGGCGGGGCCTCGAGCCCGGGGGCGTGGCCTAGATCTCGGGGTCCGCCCTCGCAGTCTCGCCCACTTGCCTTCACCCGCAACCCCGTTCTTTTCGGTTATTTTCTGCTACGGCCGTTCCCCGCCCTGCCCTGGGCCCAGGGGGCCGCGGTCTGAACTTTGGTCAGCTGGAGCAGTCGGTGAGTGGGATCCTCTGAGCGAAGGAGTAGCCAGGACGGAGCTTGGGTAAAGGGGTGGGGCCTGAGAGTGAGGCCTGCAGCTAGACCAGGAGCGGGAAAAGAAATTTAGGACTAAAGCCTGGGAAGAGGGCAGGACCAAATGATCAACACAGAGAGAGAGATCTGAGGGTTAGAGGTGGTGACTGAGCGGTTTGCCTGACAAGAATACCGGGAATTTGTTAAGCGGAGGCGGGGCCAGACCTGGGGCGGGGGGTGTTGTGAAGGCCAGATTCTCTGACAATCGGGGCGGGACCACAGGGCGGGGGCGGGGCCTGGGCCTCTGGAGCCTATTTAGAGTCCAGGGAGAAAAGCTTGAACTCTTTGTAGGCCTTATAGGCTACAGAGCACAACCATCATGAGTGATGTGGTCCGAGTGACTGACAGGAAAGCGGGCAAGACCTGTGTCTTGGAGCTTAGAGACCTGAGACGTGGTCAAAGTGTAGGGATGTGATACGAGGGACCAGCCAGGGAGACAGGGACCCAACCTTAGTACACTAGGAGGATGGAGGACTAAGTATCTGAACAGCAACTGTATGGGGCCACGGGGAAGAAGATGTGAACATCAAGAGTCACGGAACAGGAATGCGGGGAGAGACTAGTGCCTGAGTGGATCGTGGAGGACGAGGGCGGGGTTGGCGCTGACGGATAGGACCAAGTACAGCCAGCCTCGTGGGGTTCCCACAGCCCTGGCAGATTGACTGGCGGAAGTTTTTCTGACCACAGCCCCTGACCTCCGTCAGAAATGGGGAACGTGCAGTCGGAGTCGTCCGCGGGTGGGGGCTCCCGAAAAGAGCAGGCCTTGGACCCGTCCTCCGACTCCCGCCGGACATCACTGTTGGAGCCCAAGGGGACCCCCTCCTCCCCGGCCATGCGCCTGGCTCGCGGGCTGGGCGTCTGGTTCCCTGGCAGCTCCACGTCCCCGGGCCTCCTGGTACCCCCAGAGCCCCAGGCCTCACCCTCACCCCTGCCCCTGACCTTAGAACTGCCCTCGCCAGTGACGCCCCCTTCAGAGGAGGCGACTGCGGCCGCGGTCTCCACACCACCCCCGTCCCCCGTGGGGACCCTGCTGCCCGCGCCATCTAAGTGGCGAAAACCCACAGGCACTTCGGTGCCCCGGATCCGCGGTCTGCTGGAGGCAAGCCATCGCAGCCAGGGCGACCCTCCCAACCTCCGCCCGCTGCCGCCGCCGCCCCAGCAACTAACCGGAGAGGACCCCGACCCTGTCCCGAGGGCCCCATCCCCGACTCCGCCGCCCTTGGAGCCGCCACTACCGACACCTTCCGACCCGCAGCCCCCAGAACGCAGAAGCACTCCTGCTCTGGCCACGTCCGCCGCAACCCCTACAGAAAGCCAGGCCAGGCACGGTAGCGAGGGCCAGATGACCGGCAGAGGGGCACCTCCCCAAGCAGGCGAGGGCGAAATGGCCCGGCCTGTGGCCTCCGAGCCCGGCCTGAGCCTGTTGTGTAAAGTCACCTTCAAGTCAGGGCCCCAGCTGTCCCCTGCGGCAGCGTCGAGTTCCTTAGCGGCCAAAGCCTCTCTCGGGGGCGGCGGCGGAGGAGGACTCTTCTCCGCCGCCTCGGGCACCATCTCCTACGCTGAGGTCCTGAAGCAGGGACCCCTGGCTCCTGGGGCCTCTCGCCCCTCGGGAGAGGTCCCTCGGGGAACTCATGAAGCAGAAGGCGGTGATGGAGACGGCGAGGGGTGTTCTGGACCACCCTCGGCGCCTGCGTCCCACGCCCGGACCCTTACTCCTCCATCCTACACCACCTTTGTAGGCTCGAAGCCCAAATTTGACTGGGTGAGCCCCCCTGATGGCCCTGAACGCCAATTTCGCTTCAGTGGAGCTGGCGGAGGCGTCGGGGCGCCCCGACGGCGCGCAGTCGCGCTCTCAGGGCCCAGGGGCTCCCCGCCGCCTCCGCCAGGGCGGATGCATCCAGCTCCCAGGCCCCGGAGGCCCGCACCCACCTTGCTGGCGCCGCCTGTGTTCATCTTCCCGGCGCCCACCAATGGCGAGACTGTGCGCCCCGGGCCTCCCAGCCCGCAGGAGTTGCTGCCGCCGCCGCCAGCGCCGCCGCCGCCGCCCACGCCACCACCCACGCCGCCTCCCGCGCCGCAGCCGCCAGTACTCCAGCCAACGCGGCTGCCCGTGGCGCTCCCGCCCACCCCAAGCCCTGGCCACTTGGAGTCGGCCGTGGCTCCCGCCCCGGCTCCCGCTCTGCCCCTCGCCTTGGCCGCTGACCGGGCCCCAGGCCCGGCCTCACCCCCGGCTCCAGCTCCCACCGTGGCTGAGCCATCGCCACCTGCGCCCGCGCCCGTCAAGGTCCGCACGCGCCGGAACAGGGGTCCCCGCGCAGCCCGGGCCGCTCCGCGTGAGGATGGCGCGCCTGGAGATGGTCCTCGCGAATGTACTGCAACTACTGTGACTGACAGCGGTGGTGGAGGGGGGGGTGGCAGCGGGGCTCCTCCAGCGGGGACGGTTAACTCGGGCGCCACGCGCCACTGGCCACCCTTCCAGGTGCTTAAGTCTTGTCCCTTCAAGTGTTACTGCCGCCACCAGCCACGCCATCGCCGCCTGCCACGCAACGTGTCTGCCTGGTGAGGGGAGGTCGGGGAGTAGGGAGGGGAGTTATACCGTTCCAAGTCCTGAACCCGACTTTCCTGGAGTGCCCCATTCAACCCTTTGGCGTCCTGACCCCAGCTGACCCTAGACCCTCCCCTTGGCTGCATCTCAAACCCAGCTGAGCTCCAACCCTTCAGAACCAAGAGGAGCCTTGATATCATGCTGATCCCTGACAGAGAACACCTTGGCCCCGCTCCTTAGTATCCAGACCTCCAACGTGACCCTTGGCCCTCTTATTAGTCTCTGGAGCCATCAGGGAGGGAAAACTGGTCCCAGCTGGCCTGACCCTATTCACTGCATTGACCCTGTCCCTGGTGACATCAAGGACCACATCCCAGGCTCTTCAGGGATGGGATGGGAGATGATGGTCTTCTGGAACCAAACGGGTATAAATGCAGGCCTCCAAAGGAAGCCCCAGGCCTAGCCCCCCAGACTCCTTACCCCTCCAGCCTTTGGCACCTTCTCCCGACGAACCCAAGACTTTGACCGCCAGAGGGCACTGATATCCCAGTCCTTGTGCTGCAGAGGTTACTCCTGATTCCGTAGATTCAGGGGAGACACTGCATCCTGCGATTACCTCTCCTTCACCCCTAAATCTCAGGATCTGGTCATCAGGGTCTGTCTGACCCTGGCTCCTGAGGAACCTGAATAACTGGGAGACCCTCTTCCCTGGTACCTCTGGGGCTCAGCTGGGACCTGAAGGGGGAGTTGGGAGAACTACTATCACCAACCCTCAGCCCCCTTTTCTACTAAGTTTAAGTGGATACAGCCCGGCTCTAAACTACCTTTGGGATATTCAGACATGGTTCCTTACACAGATGGAGAAAGTGGAGCCTAGAAGGGGTAAGGGCCTGGCCACATAGCCAGGTCCTGAAGATTCTACCTTCTCCCTAGGCTGAGCACACCCACCAACCACCTGAGTGAGCCACCCTGGGTCACCACCATCAAGCTGGCCGGCTCCCTGGTAGCTGGGCTGGAGCACTACGACTTGCAGGCTACCCATTCCAACTGAGTGCAGTCTGCTCAATGCCCTCTGCCTTCCCCTCCTTGACAATAAAAATAACCATCCAGATGCCTAGAGCCTGTCAGTCACTGGCTAAGGGTTGAAGGGGTGGGGCGGGGCAGAGGTCTCCATGAAAGCACCACATCCTGGCAACACGAGGCTGGACCCAGACTAGCAATAAGGGAGGTTCCATTCAACCAGCATGCGGACTGATGCACCCAGGGGTGAGATGTTCTCATTCCCCTTAATACCATCAGCCCCATTTCCAAGCTGATCTGGTGCCAAGCTCAGGGGTTCAGTGCAAATCATTCTGGAAAGCAGGAATGATCATTCCCTCTCTGAGACTTTCTTGAAAATCCCACAAACCACAAATGGCTCAGCCAGATTTGGACTCTGCCTTAAACACCTTCTTGAGGACTTCAAGGCAGGAAATAGGGTGGGGGGTGCAGGAGGTCGTAAGTCACAGCACTGGCTCAGAAGAGTGGGAACCAAGGCAAGCCCATGCCAGGGCCCATGCCTTTTGTTCCACAGAGGTCCATTCAGCATGTCATTTTAAAAAACTGGTTTAATTCATTGCAAACATTTTTCAAAATCAGGACACTTCGCCCCCTTCACTGAAACACTCTGGTACGTTGGTCTGGCCTTTCTGTGTGTCCTGGCTGCAACAGTCCCTCTACCCGGGGCCTGTGCTCTCCCCGCTGTGCCACTGGGCCCCCACAGTGGACATCTGTGTTTGAGACCTTGAGCAATGGCCACTGGACAGAGGCTGGCCCAGGGTTACCTCAGACCTCCTAGGGCCCCCAAACCTCCAAGTTCTTCAGAGATAAGAACTTACGTCCCTACCATTCCACTCGGGGAGACAAGGGCCTAAGAGAGAAAATGTCAATCCACCTTTATTGGGGGAAACCCTGCACTGCAACTGCCTTAAACAATGCAAGCTCTGCTCCACCCCAGTGCCTGGTGGGCTCAGACGATCATCTCCAGCTGCCGGGCATACTCGATGACCTGCTTGGCCAGCTCCGTGGAGGGGATGGTGGTATCTTCCGGCTTCTGCTGCTGGCTGGCAAAGCTGTAGTAGTTGTTGAGGCCCAGGACCCACCCTCGCTGCAAGAAGGGAGAGATGAGAGATGGGTGGGGTGATCACACAGGCACCCTCCCCTTACCCATGTGGGCCCTGGATCGCTTTCCTCACCAACCCTACTCTACCTTGCACAACCCTAGGCAAGTAACTTCACCTCTCTGTGCCTCAGTTTCTCCATGTTTGAAGAAACTGTCTCCCAACAGTGTTTGGACCAGAGTAAACGATCACTAAGTATCAGCTGTCACAATCACTCAAGTTCAATTTCACCTCTTCCAGTCTGATCTTGACCCTCTTCAGTCACCAGGGCTATTGCACCCCATGCATCAGCATCTCCAGGGGCACTGCTCCCACACCAATACCCCAGACCAAATGAAACAGTCTTGTGGGGAAAAGCTGCAACCTCCAAGGAATTCTGATAAGCCCAGCAACCAACATATGCTAAGCCTCCACCTGCACCTGGAGGCAGGTGCTGGGCTAAGCTCATCCCACGTATTAAACTCTAGCCCCTTTCTACACGTAGGGAAATTGAAGTTCGGAGAAATTCGGCAACTTGCCTGAGGTCACACAGCTGGATTTAAACCTGGGCAGTCTTGTTCCAGTGTCCCTCCAGGCCACCCCACCCTGCTGTTAGTGAGTGCACCCCTTGGCTCGCTGGCCCCATGGTCCCCTGCCCCCCACCCCAGCCACCTTCTTGGCGTAGTCTGTCATCTTTTTGGGTGTGTTGAAGAAGAGGATCCGGGTGGCCTCAGTGAAGAGGATTTTTTCATAGGCCTTCTCGATGCACCCAGCAATCTCATCCCTGGGGGAAGACGAGATTCTCATTACTGAGCACAGACAACTCTCTAGGCCCTGTCCTCTCAGGCCAGACCCTGCAGTTCAGCACTGATGGCTGGAATGTGTTACCTGCCCTGTTCAACCAATCAAGGCTCAGGGGAGAGTAGCTTGACTAGAGTTGCAAAGCTAGGGCCACAGTAGGGTCCACACTCAGATCTCTGGGACTCCTGGGCCCACACTCTGAGGTGAAGCCATATGACTCGTGGAGCACTCCCATGAGAGGCAGCAGGGTCTCTGTCTGCTGAGTGCTGTCTGGGTGCCAAGTCCATGCTCAGGGTCTGATGTCCACGGGCACACACATACACAGCCCATAGTGAGATGAAGGCTCTTACCCCCATCTCATGACCAGTTCCAGTTCAGAGAAAAGGAGAACTGATGTGCCCAGCTTCCCCAGATCACAAGTGGCCAGAATGGGATTTAAACACAGAGCTGTCTGACTCCAGAGTCCAAGCTCTTTCTAAACTCCACACGACCCTGGCCCCCCACACACCTGATAGTGTCAAGCAAGATATCGATGAAGAAGGTATAGCTCTCAGCAGGGATGTTGCCTTTGGCCAGGAACACCTTGTTGTAGCTGCCCTCCATCAGGTACTGTAGAGGACAGGGGTGAGGAAGAAGAGAGGGTGAGGAAGAGGCAGCACAGGGGCTTACCCGCTGAGGCCTCACCATACTCCCAGTGCCTCCATAATCCACACTCTACTAGAACACTCTCTGCAATACAGTCACCCATTCCCCATGCAGACTGGGTCCTACTCTTCCCGGAAGCCCTTCCTGGTTTTTTCTCTCTCTCTGTCTCTCTGTCTCTCTCCCAAGCCTGCCCTTGGTTAGTATCTAATTATCTATTTTCCAGGAGGGAGACAGAGCTGGAGCCACCCCAAGCGCATTCCTCTACATCTTTGCCCAAGCTGTGCTGCCCCTGCCATAAATGCCCTCTCTCCCATCCTCTCCCCACAGTGAAATCCTCCCATGAAACCTCAGCTCTAAGAACTACTTCTTAACCTTAGGTACTACAGCTCTTCCTTGATTCTGCTCACCTTGTTCCAGAAACTGTCCTCTTCGCTGCCCCTCAAACACACCAGGCATGTTTCTGCCTTGGGACCCTTGGACTGGCTGCTCCCTCTGCCTGGACCATTTCCCCCCCAGATGACCAGGTGGGTGGGTTCTTCACCCCTTTAAAGTGTTCCTCAAGCTTCAGCTTTTCAACACGGCACTCCCTGGCCGCCCCGCCCCGCCCCTCCACCCTCCCTCCTGCTTTACTCTTCTCCACAGCATTTCACATCTGACAGACCATATACAGGTTATTTAATCTTTTTGTTTATCGTCCACTTCCTCACCTGAATGTCATCCTCACAAAATCGAGATTCTAACTGTTTTGTTCACTGTTGAGTCTGAAAACCAACCACAGTGCCTGGTACAGGGCTGGGGCTCAATATCGGTTGGACAAAGGAGTCCATAGGCTGAAAGATGGGTGAACCCTCTCATTTGCGAGGATACCCTCCCGAATGTCTGTCCCTGTACCACTCCCTTTAGCCAGGCCCTCCCCTCCCCCTTCCTCAGCCTCACTTGCTCGAGGGACACCGGATGCTTGATGTATACATTGGTCTGGATGTCCTTGGCAGGCAGCCGCTCCAACTCTGTGTGGAACTCAGCCACCCGGTTCTGGGACAGCAGGAAGAGAAGGTTGAGGCCCAAGAGCTGGTGCATGTAGGCTGACTCTGGGAGCTGCTCCCTGTGGACCAGGGTGGGACACCAAGGTAAGGAGGGCTTAGGTACCGACCAAGCCCCCCACTCCAGGCTTCAGGGACCCTGACGACTGCCCAGTGCTCTCTCCTTGGAGGGGTATCGGGTCCTGGGTTTTCAGATGAAACTAAGGCCCAAAGAGACATGAAGAAGTCACAATCATATGGGCCCTAGAAAGTGATCTCACACCAGTAAAGTGACTTAGCCTCAGTTTCCCCAACTGTAAAATGGGTATCACCACAGTACCCATCTGATAGAGGTGGGTTAAATAAATAAGGGTTAAGTTATTAAATGATTTAATACAGGTAGTGATTAGAACAGTATCTGGCCCAAATAAATACTATACAAGTGTTAATTATGATTATGATATTAAGAATCATCACCCTCAGTTTTGGGGGGAAACTGAGGATTAGGGAAGTAAAGTCATTTGCCCAAGACGATATAATCAGGAAGCGGCAAAATTAGTTTCAAACTCAGGTTCGTCTGGCTTCTGATGTCAAATTCTTAATCATTAGTCCATGCAAGCCCCATTCAGTTATGAAGCCATTCAGTTTCATATTCAACACACAGCCAGTGAGTCCCTGCTCTGGGCCCGGCTCCATGCTAGGCAGTGCTGGGACACAGCAGTGACTAAGACCCTTCTGCTTATAGAAGACTCACAGTCCAGTGGGAGAGACAGGGCTGGGATGGGGAGACACAGACAGACGGGTCAGGGCTGATACAGCATTGGAGGCCACAGGAAAGAGCTTGGTCTGAAACCTGAAGGCTATGGGGAGCCAGGACAGGTTCTAAGCTGATGATAAACATGGTCAAATTTTAGTGTCACAAAGAACCTACTGGCTACCATGGGGGGATGAATCTGAGGGGACAAGGCTGGGGCCAAGGCAGGTAAAAGGGGATAGTGGCTACATTGGGGAGTGGAAATTTAGAGTGGGAATGTGAAGGGGGAGACAGACTGGAGCGCAACAGAGACTGGATGGTATAATCCCAGACTCAGGACCTCCAGGCCAACCCCTAACCCTGAGGCTTCTGGCGGCACAGCTATGCAAAGGGGTAATTCCAAAGTGAAGGAAGATGTCTCAAGTGGCTAGAGCAACAAGGATAAAAAGCTGCTGAGTAACAACCCCGCGCGCGCGCGCGCGCACACACACACACACACACACACACACACGCAAACCAAATTAGGGGCAGGGCCCATCCTCACTTGTAATCGAAGTAATAGCATTTGAGCTGGGCCATGTACCGCTCGAAGGAGGGGATGTCCTTGCGTAGGATACTCCACTGGGCGCCTATCTCCAGTATGTCACCTGTGGGTAACAGGGGAAGCTCTCAGGAGGTGACTGTGGTCAGACCCTGACCACCACTGCCGCCATTCCTGCCATGACCACAGCCCATAACCCCCACCGCTACCCCACCAACCCCAGTGACACTCACGGGCCAGAATGAGCTGCTGTTTGGTCAGTTTGGTCCCTGTGGTTGGCAGGAAGTTAAGCTCCAACAGAACCAGCTGACGAGGAGGGCAGGGGAAGGAAGGAGAGAAGATGGGACTTCAAGTACAGATTACTTACCTTTTTCTAGGTCTTGGTCTTCCCTCCTAGAAAATGGAGCTAATCATCATCCCCGACTCATAAGGTTGTTATGAGTATTAAAGGAGTCAGTCCTCATAAAGCCCTCAGATCGGGGCCTGGGAACATGATGAGGGCTCATTTAAGATGACCTCATATTACAAGTATTAACAGATCCACTCGAGAAACAGTAACGCCACTCCACGCCTGACCCAATGGAATCAA